GGGTGGGGCCGAGTTGCTGCTGCTGCAGCGCGATGGCGGCGGCGGCGCCGCTGTTGCCAAAGGCGCTGGGCTCGGCCAGGCAGGCGGCGCTGGCGGGAAGGGTGAGGCCGTTGATGCTGAAGTGTGTGGGCACAAAGCCAGCGTTGGAGGCCGCGGCCGCCGAGGCGTCGCCGTATGTCGCGCGCTGCTGGGCTTGGGGCTGGTGGGGGTGCAAGTGTGGGGGAGGGGGGTTTGATGACAGCAGAAAGAGATATCAGCGTCTCTCAAACCTACGCTGCCATTGCCCACATCGCAAGGCCCTGATCTGGCAGTTTCTGGGTGGGGTTTGGAGCAGCTGTCCATCACGGGCAAGGCAACAGCCAGGAAAGTAAGCGATTAGAGCAAGATTTCTGCAAGGCATAGCGCGTGAGGCACCATGCCGACCAACAAACCGACCCCAGCTAGACTCTAGGCACATGGGCTCGGCCACGGCGGCTCGCAAGCGCAGGCATACTGCTCCGGGCCCGCACCAGCGCCGCAGCGGTGCCGTCGGTAGGGGCTGCCGCCGCCCGGGCCCTGGGGTTCATCATCTGGTGGAGGGCGCCGTCAGACGCATCGGCGTCGGTGTCATTGAGGATTGATGGCGCAGGCTGGGCGTCCGCGGGGCCGGGGGCTTTGAAGAGCTCAAAGCCCTGCAGGAGCTGGGAGTCGAACTTCTGTTGCGGAGGAGCGGCGGTGTTGGGGCAGTTGCTCTGATGGATAAATACGAGGGGATCGGCATCCCGGCATGCGTCAGAGCTGCTTTGCACACATGATTGCTGCTGCCCTTGGGTCATTGACGACAGCGTCACTGGTGCTATGCAGTTACATCAGCTGCCACTGGCACCCAGTGGACAGCACGCGGTGCCATCGCACTCGGCCTTCCTGGCACGGCCACCCTTGCTGGAAGCAGACGACTCACTTCCAGGCTGGGAAGGGCCTGCAGGTCCAGCATCGTGAACAGTGTTTGTGCACAGGAGGACAACGGGAATGCGACTGCGGGCAAGGTGCGTGCGGCTGCCGTAAAGTCGTCTAAACACTCGTGAATTCAAGATCAGCTTTCAGGATGGCTGCGAGATATGTATGCGTCCATGCCAAGCTTGCGCTCCGGAGGAGTGGAGGGCCTCGAGCCCAACGGGCCTGAGGGCCGCGATCAGCTGGCTGGGGGCCGCTAAAAGACGTGTTTATTGTCAACGGACATGTGAAGTGCCGAGGCAATGACTGCAGAGGGGCACGTACATGATTTGTGCCGCATCAGGCGATGACACCCCCCTTGGACTGCGCACTTTCCGAGGAAACCTGCGAGGCGCACGTTCATCCGGCAGTTTGTGATTATCGTACCCTCCTATGCCCTGCGGGCAAACTTTGCTGCCCGCTCAAGGTGGTGCTGGCAGTGTAATAAGCATCCTACGCCCTGCCGGTCAACTCTCGCGTGCACTCTTTCCAGGCGACAGTGATTGCGCCACCACTGATGGACGAGCGGGAGCCAATGAACCCCCGCACAGAGGACTTGTCTGCTCGCAGGCAACCACATGTTTACTGCAGCTACGCAGCCACCCTCCAGCATTCACGCCTCCGCCTGCTGCCTGCACACGCCAAGGAACATGCACGCATGGTCGAACGCCGCAAGCCGCGCCGGCGCACGCCCCTCCTCGCGCCCCGACCACGCCGCCAGCGCCGCGGCCGCCCCTCCGCCGCTCCGCAGGATTTCCAGCATGCGCGCGCGCCGCGTGGCAGCCCCAGGTTCCGCCCAGCCCCGCAGCACCTCCTCCTCCATCTCCCGCCGTGTGCGCTTGCCCAGCCGCCCCTTGGCCGTCTCCGCCTCTGCCTGCTGCCCGACGACATCGCAAACGCCGCCGGCCACGGCGGTGCACTGCATTGAGCCGCTGAAGCCGCCGCCGATGCGGGCGTCGTCCTTGTTGCCAGTGCTGGAAGGCTTGCAGCCGCCATCAGCCTTGTTGTCAGCGTCGTCTGACGGCAGCTCAAGCGCAGCATGCTGCGGCAACCTCGGAGCCTCGATGGCGGCCGCTGCAGCCACCACAGGCGCCGCCAGGTCGCCGTCGCCCACGGGTGAAGGCAGGCCGGCAAGCTGCAGCTGCTCCCCTCCGCCGCGGTGCGGGCTTGGCACCGGCTCCTGCATCTCATCATCGACGCGCTGCCCCTCCTCCTCGTGCTGCTGCACCTTAAGCTCCCCCTGCACCTGCACCTGCCTCGTCCCACCCTTGCTCATGCGCTCGTCAGCCAAGCTGACCTTGTCCCGACCAGCCTGCTGCCAAACCTGCTTCACCGCGTGTGCCTGCGCCTCAGTCCCCTCCGCATGCACCCTGAGCTCACCGCCGTCGCTGCTGCCATCGCCGCCACCGGGCCCCAAGCCAGCAGGGGTCCCAACGGAGGCAAACGGCCCCGACTGCGCCGCCGCGCCGCGGGCCTCCTCTGCCCATTCCTCCAAAATTGGCCGCACGTCAACGTGCCCTGGCCGCTCCTCGCCGCTGCTGTCTAGCACCTTGGCCCCGCTGCCGCTGCCGCCCTGTGCTGCCGCCTCCGAGACATGGGGGGAGGCAGTTGCGGCAACTGCCAGAGGCAAGGCCGCGTTTGCGCCGCTGCCTTCACCTGCGGCGCAGACGTTGGCGCTGCCATTCCCCAGCGCGGGCTGTTCGGCTGCCGCGGCGCGCTCAGGCCGCTCAAGGGAGGCAGCCACAGGCTCTAGGCAAGGCGCCGCCACTGCGTCACGACCCCCAGCGGCAACGCCTCTGCCGCTGCCCAGCACAATCTGCTCAACTAGTGCACCACGAGCGGCCATCTCCAGAGAGGCTGTGGCCGGGATCACGCTGTGCGATATGGGCCCACCATCTGTGCCGCCCGCACCGGCGCCCGCGCCAGTGCCGCCGCAGCTGTCCGGTGGACTCAGGGCCGCGCACGCCTCGGTGCCTTTCGCCGCTGCAGGGATGCCGTCGCCAGGCGCACACCAGGCGGGCAGCGGCACAGGGCCAGTGCTGGTCGCTGCGTGCAGGGCAGCAAACTTGCGCGCCTCGTGCTGCTCGCACTCCGGCTCCTGCTGCTGGCGCTGCTGCTCCTTGCGCTGCAGCTCAGCGAAGCCCTCTGCCACCCCTAACCTCTGCCCTGCGGGCCTGATCGCCGCCTCGCTTGCGCTAGGCGTCACGCCGCTGCCGTGTTCGGCCGCAGCGGCTGGGGCGCAGTTGTCGAGCCCCCGCTGCACATGCTGCTCCTCAATGGCCGCCTCGTCCAGCGATGACGCAGCTATCAAACCAGTTGCTGCCCCGCGTGTTGGTGGGCTTGAGCTGCTGGCAGGCTCAACCACCTGCACCGGCTGCAGGGGTGGAGGCTCCATACAATGTGCTGCGGTCTTGGGGGCCATGAAGCTGCCGAGCGCAGCGTGCGCTGACGCAGACGCACGGCCCTGAAGGCAAGCGACAGCGCCAGGCGCGCTGCGCGCCCCGCGGACGAGTGGCGGGCTGCTGCCGTTGCTGCGGTTGACAAAGCTTGGCACTGCAGCGCCAGCGCTCATACTCATGGTGGCACCGGTGCGCATGTGAGCAATCTGCAGCACCGGCTGCGCTGGCTGCGGCACATAATCTCCGGCGTAGCTGCACTCCGGGCTTGAGGCGGCCGACGCAAGTGCGCCACTTCCTGCGCGCCAGGGCCGGTACAGGCGCTGCTGCTGCTGCTGCTGCTGCTGCTGCTGCTGCTGCTGCTGCTGTTGTTGCTGTTGCTGCTGCTGCTGCTGCTGCTGCTGCTGCTCACGTCTTGAATCCTGCTGGCAGCTGGCGTGGTTGATGCCCGCGTCGCTGCGTCGGGCCTTGCCTGCATCACCAAGCAGCCAGCCCTGCATGGTGGCTGGGTCAGGCGCCACAGCGGCCAGCATGGAGACATGCGGTGGGCCGATAGCAATTGTGAGCTGTGTGCATTGCGCGGCAAGGACGCCACCATTGTCTGCGGCTGCTGTGGCGGCAGTCCCCTCCAACGCCTGCTGCTGCGGCCAAACAGCTGCGTTGGCCGCCTCCATCCGCGAAGCGGCGCGGCCGCGGGCCGCCAACCAGCCGCCTGCAGCGGTAGAAACGGTGTCATCATCCATGGCGGCGGGCGGCAGCTGCTGACGCAGCGCCGCAGGCATTGCCGCCGTGTCAGCAGCGAGCAGCGCACGGTGCTGCCCCTCAAGCCTGCCTGGCTCTGACATGGTCGGCAGGCCGCCGCCCAGCGCCGTGCCACCTTGCGGCTGCTGCTCTTGCACCAGCACACCCAGCTGCTGGTGCTTGCCATTCGTAGCGGCAGCATGCGCCTTTTGCTGTCCTGCATGCAGCACTGAGCCCGGCGCCGAGCGCATGCTGGGGCCAGGAGCAGTGGCGCCCTGCGGCACTGCATGCTGACCAGGGAGAGCTTCTTGCTGGGGCGGCGAGGAGGGCCGCAGCACGCCGCCGCCGCGTTCCGCGCTGCCGCTGAACAGCCATGGCCGGCTGTATGTGCGCGTTAGAGGCGTTTGAGTCCCCGTCATGACGGGGACCGAGTTGGCCATGGCGGCTGCGGCGTTCGCGCGCGGCGGTGTTGCCGCCCATGCCAGCGGCAACCTGGCAGGGGTCTGTGTGGGCGTCAACCCGCGGCCGCCGCCTGACGTACGGCGGGTGAAGAAGTTGCCCAGAGAGCCCAACCAGTTTGCAGGCGACTGAGCGCGCGTGGGCAGCGGCGTGGTGGCATTCTGCAGGCCGCCGTTAGGCGTGCCACCGCGGGTTGCCATTGGAATTGAGAATGGCCAAGAAACACTTTCCTGGATTTCAGTGGGTGAATGATTTGGAGTGCACCGCTGGACCGGAGACGCGCCAAACAAGATCGTCGACGGACGTTGGACGGATCTGTGTCATGTGTGTGCGAATTGTATTGTCTGATGTGTGCCGCGTGCGATCAGCAGTCAAGATGAAAGATCTTTTGGGATGCAATTCGGTATGGTATGGGCGACAGCTGCACTCGGTTCGGGAGCAGCTGCACGCTGAGCTCAGCTGAGGCTGCCGCTGGTGCAAGGTGCAGGCCTGATGGTACCAGCAATTAATCTCCATGACTTGTAGCGCGCACAAATCCCAACAGCTGCTGAAACGGTGACAGTGCATGTTGCCCCGTCCTGGCTACACCCCCGTTGTTGATCAAGAGCTGGGGCCAAGTTGCAAAACATACTCTCACCCGCTGCAGCTATTGCTGAAAGTTTAGCATTTCAACCGTGCACAAAGGAAAATTGCTAGCTCGGCTTTCTCAACTGCGCCTTCCACAAGCTGTGAGGGCCACGTGACCACAATGCTTACACGAAGGACATCACACGTGTGCATTCACAGTCGCACGAGGGACACACATGCGTAGGAGAGTGCATCCAGCACCTCTTGTGATATTGGTTGGTGTGATGCACTTGAACCCACCAGGTGCGCCCACCCACCTGCGCCCTCCCCCAAAAAGCGAGCGACCTCAACCAACAGCTGCCTGCTAATCACGCAGTGCTGAACACAAGGCGCCGAGCGGCCCTGTAAAAATAAAAATGAAATAAAGTATGCTGACGCATGTACGATGCGCCGGATGCTGGCGCCCTGCGGGTGTCGCATCTCTGTTGGCGCTGAATCGGCCATAGAAGAGGACACATGCAGTGCAGTGCGCCGCGCAAAGTGCGCCTGCCCAGCACGGTGCAAATGTGAGATGGAACTTCGACCCTTGTCAGTCCATAAGCGAGACAACACCTCCAAATACGAAGGCAATGGGCACCCTGCATGCCTTGAGGGCAGTTGGACACCGCTTTCTCGCACAATAGGCAGCCTGTTCACAGACACCAACCGCCCAAATCGGCGGTCAACAGACAGATGCGGTCTGGCCCGGGCGCATGCCGCAATGCATGCGCATGGGTTTGCGCGCAAATGCCTGTTTTGTGCGCGTGCGCCGCGCAGTGAAGCTTTCGTGATGTTGCCTGCAAAGCGCTGCTTATCATGCAAACAGCTGCTGACACCTACTGCGAAATTGAGACAGAAAGCCAAACGTGAATGTGCAGCGACAGGTGCCGCACCAGGCCGATTTGCGCGAGGAGCGCAGCACTCTGAAAGGGGGCGCAACGCGCCTTGCCCAAAGTGCATGTTCAACCCAAGGGGTCAGGAAATGTTGAAATGAGCACCAACAGGGCCAGCCGGCGCCTCTGCGTCAACGCTGCGCTCGAGCGGTTGTCCATAGCTGGTGCTCTTGCTGCTGAGTGCGGCAGTTGCCGCCGCGAAGCTGCTGCGGTGGCCTTTGGCCAGGACGCGTGCCGCGTGCAGCAGCCGCTGCTGGGCGGCGGCCGTGGTGTCGAACCACTCGCAGGCAGCCCCTGGTCCCTGGCCTTCTCCTGCCTGCTTGCCTTCCTCACTATGCCCGGGCGCGCCGCCGCTGGCACAGCAAGGCTCCTGTGACCGCTCCGCGGCGGCTGTGGCACACGCCGCGGCCGCGCCCTCCGCCACCACGCGCACGCACGACACTGGGTCGGTGGAGAGGGCGCCCAGCGTGGCAGTCACCACCTCCTGCGACCGCCGCGGCAGCAAGTGAGCTGCGTGCGCCAGCAGACTCAGGCCCATCGGGACAAAGGCCTGCCGCCCCCGGAAGCTGGGGCTGCGGCCAAATCGGTCGACCAAGCTTTCCGCATACAAGCCGGGCCCCACACTGAGGGGGTCCAGGCCCGAGGGGTCGCCGCCGACGCTGCCGCCCAAGCTCTTGCGGTCCCTCCGGCCGCTGCCGCGCGCGCGGCTGCTGCTGCTGCCACCGCCGCCCGCCACTGCGCCTTGGACCGCCGCGCCCAGGCGGCTTGAGCTGCTGTTGCGGTGGGGGATGGCACGGCTGGCGGACAAGGAGACGTCGTGGGCGGACGCGCTGCGCCTGTGCTGCAACTGGGATCGCGCTCCCCATGCGCCCACCGGCGCCATTGCTGGATGCACGGCGCCCACCACCGGGTGGGCAGCCCGCATCGCGGGATGGACTGCCACTATTGCCGGGTGCACCGCCGCCCCGGTTGTGCACGGCGCGGCGGGAAGCGCCGCTGCATGCTTGGGGGGTGCGCAGCGCGACGGAGACGCGTGGCGGCGTGCCGCTACGGTGTCGCTGCCACCATCCTCGTCGCTGCTGCTGCTGCTGCTGCTGCTGCCGCCGCTGCCGCCGCCGCTGCTGCTGCCGTTCCTACTCCTGCCCCTGCTGTCGCGGCGATCAACGCTGTCAAGGCTCTGCGAGCTGCCGCCCATTCCATTGGCAGCCGTTGGCGCCTGCGCCGCTGCCGAAAATCCTTCTAACGAGCGTCCATGATCCTGTGGCGGCGAACAGGGCAAGCCACCACGCGGCGGTGCCGCCAGAGCGCAGGGCAGGCCGCCAAGCCGCGCCCCGTCGCCACAGTCGTCGCTACAGCTGCCGCGGTAGCTGCTGTAATCGCCGTCGCTGCTTGGGCTGCCGGCTGCCAGAAATGAGGCCGCGGCGGCGATTGACCCGCTGCTTGCAATCCTGATTGGGCTGCTGTGGTGTTCTCTGAGCGAATCAAGGCTCCTCCTGCCGCCCGTCGCCCGGAGAAGGGCGCTGCCGTGCCTGCCGCCGCCCGCATCGTCACCGCCGCTGTCGTCACTGCCGCTGCTGCTGGTGGCGTGACCTTGCCGCCGTGCTTGGTCGCGCAACAGCGTTGCAGCCGACTGGCGCTGCTGCTCCTGCAGCTTGCCTCCCTGCTCCAGCTGCTGCGCGAGCTGCGCCTCCTGCCGCTGCTGCTGCAGCTGTGCCTCCGGAATCAGCGGCAGCAGGGCTGCGAGCAGCGGCCCCATTTGGACCGCCGCCGCGTCGCGCACCGCAGCTACTGGGTCAGAGCACAGAGCGACTGCCGCCGGCCACAGCACGTCCGTAATGGCGGCCAGCTGTGACGCGCGCGCCATGCGCCCGAGCTCTGCCGCTATGCCGCGCCGCAGCCGCCACGCACGGCAGCGCTCGTGGTGCGCGCCGCCCTGTGCCAGCCGCGAGATGAGGCGCAGCAGCGGCTCGTGGCTAGCCGCCGGAAGCGCCTCCAGCAGCGGCGGGACGGCGGCAACAAACGCCGCGTCGACCCATGACAGGTGGTCGTGCACGATTGACAGCAGCGCCGGCAGCAGGTCGGTGCGCAGCACCTCGGGCCCCAGCTGCTGCGCCATCAAAGGCAGCGCAGCCACCACCTCCTGCAGCACCACCGGGTCTCGCGACGCCTGCAGGTGGCCGAAAGCCGGCCGCACGTCGGGCCACCGTGCGGGGCCCAGGCGGGAAGCGACCATTCCTAGGCTCTGCGCGCACGCTAGCGCAACACTGATCTCTGAAATCACAGTTGTGCTGGACCCCATGGCCACGAACCGGCCGACGAGCAGGCTGCTGATCTGGCAGGGCGGCAGTGCCAGCAGGCACGGGCCCAGGCCGCCGAGCGCCGTGACCTTTACCCAGTGACTGCTGTCGGCCGTAAGCGTGTCAATGCACTCGCGCATGGTTGCCCAGCAGGTGTGCAGCTCGGACTGCTCCAAAGCCAGCTCGCACTGCGGCCCTGACGCCCCCGCCTTCACGTCTGCCGCGTCGCCCTCCTCGGCGGCGCCTGCCGGCGCGCCGGTGCCGCCGCTAGCGCTGCTGCTGCTGCTGTTGATGCTATTGCTGCTGCTGCTATTGCTGCTGCTGCCGCCGCCACCAGCGGCCCCCAGGCGCGAGGCGCCCAGCGCGGACTCAGGCAGCCCCGCGTCAGACCGCGGCGACGCCTCACCCAGCGGCGAGCCAGTGACGAGGCGGTCGTCCGCAGACGACAAAGATGACGACGACAGCGACTGCGGGATGATGCTGCCGAGCGGCTTTGGCGTGTCAGTGAGCAGGCTGCTGCTGAGCGGGTGCTTGCCCATGCTGCGGGCCGGCGCCCCCACAGCTGGGCGCATCACATGCGCCGACCAGACGTGCGATGAGAGCGCAGCGGAGGACGCCGTGCTGCCGGCGCCTCGCATGCCGCCGCGCTGGCTGCGCCCCAGGGAGCCGCTGGCGCTGCCTGCTTTGGCGTGTGCGCACATGCCAGTGGCGGCCACGCCGAGCGGCTCCAGCGGCACACCGCTCGTCGGGCAGCGCGGGGGCACGCCGACGCAGCTGCGTTCATTTGAGCACGCGTCCCCGCAGCCGCCGACGTCCTCCAGAGCGCTGAAGCAGCTGCATGTGCTGTCCGCGCGGCTCAGCACGCGCTGCTGCTGGCGGTGCAGCTTGCCGGCAAGGCGCGGAAGGTCGACTGCCGCTGCTCGACGCACGCGCCAGTTGTTGTCGCGGCACAGCTGCGAGAACCAGGGCAGCAGCGCGCACTGCCACACGTCAACTGGCAGGTGATCGCCGATGAGGCTCATGCAGCACGCCACCGCCTGCAGCGGAGTTGCAGGGGGCGGAATGGAAGGGTTGCACGGGTCAGGGGTAGCCGTCACCAACACCGCCGCAGGCGCCTAGCCTAGCCCAGCGCATCTCCAATCCTGTCCAACACAACTGCCTGCAACATCAGGGATGGCTCGACGCATGAATGTGCTCCTTTTGTCTGCAAGTGCTTCTGCAGTAAGCCGATGCACCCACCTCGCGCACGCTAAAGTCGCGATGGCTGCACCACCGCCGCAGCAGGTCCGGTACTCGTTCGTGCAGCGCCTCCTGTGACCAGTGGGCTGCCGAGTGCGCAAACAGCCGCGCTGCAGCCACTGCCGCGTCCTCCGCGCCGCGCGAATCTAGGCGATGCAGCGCGTGCTGGGCCGCAGACGCCGCGGCGTCGCGAGGCAGCAGCGCCGTCAGCTGCGAAAAGGAAAGGATTGCCTGCCGAGCGACCTGCGGTCGGGTTGGGAGAGCATGGGCGATGTGGGTTTCAAGTCCAGGCGCCACCTGTGCTTTGCGCCCCACAGCCACCTGAGAGCGAGGTTTACTCTACCAAAGCAGTCGCAAATCCAACCAGTGGGCGTGGCCTACAAAGGCATGCGTCGCGCGCGCGCTGCAGCCCAGCATCAACTCGCCTCGTCGTGGTCGTCAAGCACCATGTGCAGGATCATCGGCAGCAGCACTTGCTGAATGTCCGTCTGGGCGCGTGCAGCATCCTTGTCTCGCAGGAGCCCACCTGCACGGGGCAGCCGCAGAAGGGTGGCTCTGAAACCATGGCTGAAGGTGAAACATGCCGAGTGGCGCCAAGCAGACCGGCAGCCCACGACTCAGTTGCTGCGCCTCGTAACCGCCACTGACCGCAGATCAGCGCACATATCCTCACTGAATGCGCCACACACGAACTCACCAAGGTGGGACAGTTGCCGCAACGCCTCCAGCCGCACATCGGCCTCAGAGTCGCGCAGCACCTCATGCAGCAGCGGAGCCGTCTCACAGCACTGGGCGTATTCGGCCGCCGCAGCAGCTGCTGCGACGCCCTGTAGAAAAGATGGCAAAATAACTACAAAAGAATACTATCAAGAAGATTTGCGTACGCTGTCGCCTAAGTTCAGCAGCCCCGCGGCCTGTGCAGCGCGGACTGGACCCTGCAGCCCTACGCCCCTAATAAGGAACGCACCTGCACATGCGCCGCGCGTTGCACAGAGCTTTTGCTCTGCAACGCTCGGCTCAACATATCGCTGAGGCCGGTTGTCGCCACCTGCACCCAGAACCATGCTGATGAGCCTGGATGGCGGGACCTCTCGTGGCAAAGTCGTGCATCAGGCACCTCACCTCTCCAGTGTCATCCCTATTAATGTCCGTGGGTCCTCGACTCCATGCCCAGCGCGCGGGGGGGACCTCAGCGCGGGTCATTTTGCGCGAGCGTTCAGCGATGATCGCTTCTCATCGAGTATGGCAAAGCATGGGTCAGAGCAGCGCAGAAAAATAATATGATTTTGGTTCCATAGGTTCATAGATGCATCTTTGCTTGAATGGCGTGCAGCGCTTGGGCAGGCGCCAGAGAGCGCAGGGGAGTGAGGGCGCCAGGCGACCCTCGAGCCGTGACCAGCGACCAACTGCACAAGGAGTGAGCGCTACTCTGATAACAATGCTTGCGGCTGATATAACCTCACGAAGTACCTCTGCGCAAGCAAGCAGAGACAAAGACCGCTTCGCCAGTAAAGTTGGAGGGGCCGCCCGCCAGTGTCGACAGAGCGGGGGCGGAAAGGAGGAATGTGAGCAAATCGGATGGGGTATTCCTGCCCATACCCGTTTGACCAGTGCCCTGATTACTATTCAACATGCAAGCCAACCTGCATATGGCGGTCAACTCCCCACCCAACATACCTAGCACATGACAACTCGCATCTCCGAAACAATTCAAGTTCCTAGGAGATGCTGCAGCCGGTTTTGAGCCCCAGCCGAGCAATGGCGGGTGGTGCATACACATGCATGAGGGACGATGTTTACTGGGAAGCTGGTTACATAGCAGCGCAGTTGTTATTTCCCAGACACACATGCATGCGGGGTTGATGGCATGTGAGAGCCCTCAGTGTGAGGCTGCCGAAATATGTCACCTGTGTGCGTTGTTATCATCCCACAAGAACAAAGTGGTCTTGCGAACATGTGCGAAGCTCATTCTATGCACACACGCCCAACCAATGAGGGCCGGTGGTGCAAGACCATAAAACTGACCATGCAACTGACCACAAGGAATGGACAGCGGAGAAAGCACGCAGCACGACCAGAAAACTCTAGATTAGATCAAGCGCAACTCAATCCCATCAACCAGCCGCCTGACATTGTGAGAGCAAGACCAGAGCTGTCTGTGCACTACGCATTGTTCAAGCATTATCTTGAACGAGGCAGGAGGCTGCCGTGGCAACGCGGGGCAGCAGGTGCTCCGCTCAGCAATGCCGAGCACATGGGCATCCACCAGCAAAGTCCGCACATGGAAAGCCGCCAAGAGCCTCCCAAAAGGGACCACCTTGCCAAGAATGAGAACCAAAACATGTTGTACAGCGAAGTGCATGGCGCTGTCTGGAATGCTTTGCGAGAGTAGTGCACGAGAGCGGAGCTCAGCACCGCCACATGCTCCAGCTCACGCCGGCACGCGAATAGGCACACCCACCTCCGCCGCAGCCTCCACACGCGGCGGCTCCGGCGGCGCAAACAGGCCCGGCAGCACACGTGGCAGCTCGTGAATGTTTGGGATCACGAGGTCTGCGCCAGCCACGTGCCCCTCACGGCCCACCAGCACTGTGAAGATCCCTAGCTCGTGGGCTGAGGCGCAGTTGCGGGGGCTGTCATCAATAAAGACGGCGCGTCCCGGCGCCACGCCCAGCTGCTGCAGCACCAGCTCAAAGGCGCGGCGGTTGGGCTTGCATAGTACCTGGGGCGGTGCGCCCTCCGGTGCCTTGAGCAGCTGCTGCACGGTTTCAAAGCACCAGATCGTCTGAGAAGATTTGTGGGCAGGGAGAGTGCAACGGGAGGTTATGCAGAGGAAAAGCATGCGGGCGGGGAGAGTGCCTCATGTGTTTGTCAAGGAGGACCATGGGTAATCACCGTGCAGTGCTCATGCCAGCCGCAACAGTCCTTGGAAAGAGGACCATGGGTAATCACCGTGCAGTGCTCATGCCAGCCGCAACAGTCATTCACAGATCACAGCATCCAGCCCAAGCAGAGCCAGGCCCTGCCACCCCTGCCATTGTCACTCGACACCCGCGTGCCAACCACATGCCCACTCACCTCGAAGCATCCCTGGATACCCAGCCGTGAGAGGCACTCCGCTGTGTGCTTGGCATCTGCATTGGTGAAAATGTGCTTTGTGGCCGTGACCTGTGCCAGGATGTCGCGCACTCCGTTGGGGTGCAGCAGCAAGTCGTACTCAAGGGTCGCGTGCACCTGTGTTCATGGAGGATCATGAGTCAGCGGGTTGCGGACCGCAGATTTGCAGGAATGTGGCACCTTTACAAGTACAAAACTTGCAACAAAGGAGCAACCACACAGCCAGCACACATCACAGCAACATAATGTTTGCCCAGCAGCTGCGTCCCACGAGCCACCGCGGCCCTGAGACCTTGTCGTGAAAGTGGTCGTAGTCTATGTGGTAGCCCGCCGCCACCAGTCCCGCCATGGTCTACGGGTAGCGCACAGCCGTAACTTTGAGCGGCGCGCCAGGCAGAAGGGCAATCACAACCAAAAGATACCCTCGCGCAGTGTGAGGCTTGCGTTTGCACTTGTCTGCACCCCACTGATGGCGCTCACCGTGCCATGCTCCAGGTATAGCTTCAATGTAAGAGCGTCCACTTCGTCCGCTGGGATGAGAAGCACTTCCCGTAGGTAGCCTGCAATTGCCAAGGCATGGCAGGGGGGAAGACCTGGGGCAGGCTGGGCGGAAGCGCATTGCAATGTGGACAGGGACAGGGCCAGTTGCGCAACGTGCCTGCAGAGAGCGGATTCTTTGCAGGCTCACGTGTGATGTTGTTTCTCACAGTCTTTGCTATCGCAGGAACATCATAGAGCGTGTCATCCTGCGGGTGCATTGTGATGCAGAATGCAGCGGCTGAGGCCGCAGCCAACACACAATGCAGGGGTTCTGCAGGGCTGCTGTCGCAAAGGCTGCACGAGCTGCTGCCATGGTTTCAAGTGCTGCAAACGCAGCCACAGCGCAGTGATACCAGCACACATCGTTTGCATGTGCGAGACTCGGAAGCGCATGCTCTCCCACTCCACTCGTCCACGCGCTGCTCAGCTGCTGCAGCAGGCAGCTCTCACGCCCCGATGCGACGCTGCGCGCCTACCAGGTCGAACAGCACCGCATCAAACTCCCGGTCTAAAAACGTCATATTCTCTGCTGCCTCTCTGATGGCAGCGCTGCAGGAAGAAAACAAGGAATAAAGACCGGGTATGACGCGTTGGCCAGGGTTGAGGGTGGTGTAATATCAACTTATGTCAGTGAAAAATCCGATGTTTGTGACGATGCAGAACTCGGTTTCCAGACGTGCTTTGCTTCTGTTGGTGCCCAGCGAGACCAGGATGGCTGTGCTCTGCAACCTTGTTGCTCTCAAACGTGAACTCTGCGAGGTATTCATACGCTGACCGACATTTTAGCCAAGCCGTTGAATCCACGCCGTAAATGTAAATGACACTCATCAGATCACACCCACTCGCCGCTGATCGCGTTTAGGATGAGCTACAGGGGCGGTGGGGAGCGAAGGCGGGAAGAACGCACCAGATATGGCGGCGGTGATGGTGGAGAACGCCGCGATTATTCGGACAGGCGCGGAACAGCGCACCAAGACAGACGAGGGGCTCACCACCAGGCCTCCTACGTGGGAAACAAACGTGGCAGGGAGGACGTGGCTCCCGCAGACCCGAAGCGCGACCTCATCAGGCTGCTGCTGCGCCTGGGCGAGCCGCAAGTGAGTGCAGCTTGGGCGGCCGGCACGTCACAATGCCTTTGTTGCTCATGCCGTGGCCCTCGCCATCATGTCTCCTGTAACTGCGCATGCATGTGAGCTTTTATCATGACCACTGATGCTGCGGCCATCATGGCGCTGGGATGTGCGTTCGAAGTCAACTTGTACTGGAGGATGCTCGCGACGACACCCATAACTTCTGACCAAAACAGGCCCCTAATGACACCCCTGAGAGCACTATAATGCCCGCCGTGAGGGCTCTGAAGCGGGAAATTGCGCGGCCGCTGCCAGAGGTAAGCGGGGGCCGACAGGGTGAGATGGCTGCACACACCCTGCTTCGCCCCGCTTCGCCCCGAGACCGCCTGCCAAGCCGTGGCGGCGCGTGCGCTGCACGGGCGACAGCTGCGTGGCTGCCCGGAAGCTGCAGCTCTGGATCATTGTAGGGTCTGTTGCAACCCGATCCCTCAACCCAGCTCGACGAGCTGGTCCTGGAGGCAGTTTGCGGCGCGACCACCAAGACGATACAGCTGGCTCTCGTCATAGGTGCGGCGCCTTGCGCTGTGGTATGCCTCTTGGAACGCAAGGCACGATGTGTTCCAAACATGTCCCGTCGACGTGTGGGTCAACGTGCTGTGCCGCAAAGTGGCAACTCGGCCCAGGAGTAAGAAATCGTGCATTCCTGCCCGCGGCTTGCCTGCGCACTGCACCAGGCCTGGTGCGCCTGACGGACCGCGAGTGGGTGGACGCACTGGTGGCGCGCGGTGTGGCAGAGTGCGACGGCGCGCTTGCTGCGGGCGGCGCCGGCCGCGATCGCGCCCGCCTGCTGGTGCGGTGGCTGGCGTGCTTGGCGAAGCCAGGCGTCATAAGCGGCGCGTCGGCGGCGCAGGTGCTGGCCGACCTCCTTGCGGCCGCCATCGACGCCGCAGCGGCAGGAGGTGGGCCCCGATGTCACATGCAGCTACCAGTGGGCCCGTTGGGTTGCCTGTGCTTTTGCAGAGGCTTCGGGCTATCGAGAGCTTGTTTGCCACCCTGCACAGCACTCTTTGCCCCTTTGCCGCTTGTAAGCCCCGACCATCGCACACAAGCAAAGCGCCTCATCTGTATCATATGCCATATGCACCCTTGCCGAACCTGCAGCTGCCGCGGACCCGTCGGGCGCGACGTGGCAGCCATGGTCCGATTTCGTCGCGTACTGCGCGATGGCCGCGCTGCCCTGGGCCGGCGCTGACCTAGCGGCCGCCGCGCCCGACGAGCTGGGGGCTGTCATGGAGGCCGCCGAGCGCTACATGGCGGCGCGCGCCTACGAGTATGACGAGCATCTGTCTCCCTGGCTGCCCGGCGCGCTGCCCGAGGGCGACGCGGCGGCCGGCGCGGACAGCGGCGGCGCGACGTTCCTGGGGGAAGTCTGGGGTGCGGTGCGCGCCTGCCAGCAGGAGCACGGCTGGCACGTCGCGTCCGTCCCGCGCGGCCTGGCGGCGGCGTTCGAGGAGCAGCTCGCGCGCGGCGCCGGCAGC